TCACTATAATTTTGCTGATATTACTCAGACTAAATTAAAAGGAAACAAGTGGTTAGTTTTAGTAGAGTGCATAAAATATTTGCTTGAAATGGAAAATGATTTTTAATGCTGGGCAACTGAAGTCCTAAATATAAGTGTTCTTAGTAAAACATGGGTTAAATATTGTAAACCTAATAAATATTGTCTTGTGATAAACAGGACTGAATGACATAGTGTCCGTGAATTAAATATTTATTGTGTGGTGGTGGGGTGCTCCTTGAAGTTTTTTAAAGATTTTATTTGTTTATTTGAGAGGGAGAGAATAAGAGTGGAGGGGAGGGGCAGAGGGAGAGGGAGAAACAGATTTCTTGCTGAGCGGGGAACCTGATGTGGAGCTCAGTCCCAGGACCCCGAGATCATGACCTGCGCCAAAGGCCAATGCCGACAGAGCCACCCAGGCACCCCTCCTTGAAGTCCTTTTATTGTAGGATCCTCATATTCAGCTTGATCAGGATTCCTTTAATACCTGAAGTTTTGTTCATGGAAGTACCGTTGTTGGCTTAGTTTTAAAGAGACCACTAGAATATCCCATGAGGATTAGTAATGCCTTTACCATTGTAAAGCAGTCAGTGTGGATTTCAATCCACAGCTTTAGTGAAACTTGTGTTTGAGTAAAGTCCAACCAATAAGCAAAGGACAGAAAATAAATCAGTCATAAAAAGAAAAGAATTATAGGCATAAATAACAGAAATTAGGTAACCCTCCCATAAGTGTATTTTGAGAATGCCTTCTCAACTTTTTTTTTTAAAAGCAAGATCCATATATATATATATATATATATATATATATATTTTTTTTTTTTTTTGGAGACCACTTGATGGATAGAAGTATTAGAAATACAAGTAGCCAATTTCTCTGTAATCCATTTAATCACTAACGCTGTTGAGATTGATGTCAGTCTCTTGAGTTCCATTTCTTTGGGGCTTATATCCCCTAGGCTTTTCTCCCTTCAAATTAAATGGTCATTAATATAACCACCCAGACTGGGGCTTCTCTTTATTTCAGTTTTTCCTAAACCTTATGCTGAATACCTGCCTAAAACTATAAAGATTTCATTTTAAAAAATTCTCAATGTTATGAAAGCATTTAATTTTTAAAATAAGATTTTGACCGGCCATCAAGGTCTAAAGTCCTGATACTTACATAAGAGACTATTATTTTTCATTACTCATAGACCTCCACAAATTTCTTTTCCATCTTATTTGTGCCTTTTAGTATCTTCCAGAAATTTTGCCAAATAACTTCTTTTGGCTATCCTCAGTCTGAAACAGAAAAGAGAAAGGTCCAGTCTTAATCAGATAGCATAGAAATGAGTTCTTGGGGTGCCCAGGTGGCTCAGTGGGTTAAAGCCTCTGCCTTTGGCTCAGGTCATGATCTCAGGGTCCTGGGATCGAGCCCCACATTGGGCTCTCTGCTCATCATGGAGCCTGCTTCCTCTCCTCTCTCTCTGCCTTTCTGCCTACTTGTGATCTCTGTCAAATAAATAAAATCTTTTTTAAAAATGAGTTTTTGTACTATTTTATTGAGGAATAAACCAAGGGCATTGTTTTTCTTAGGTTTTAATAGACATGTTGGGAAAAAAATGGGAACCTAATGGTATAACATCAGCAAGACTAGTGGCAAGGCCTTGAATTTCAGTTACTGGGTTTGTGTAGGAACAGTCCCAGGCAAACTCCATACAGATGGTATATGTGGGAGGCCTTGGCAAATGGGGGTTGCCCCACAAAGCTTACCAGGTGTGGTTATCCTTTCTTGTGGGGAAAACAGTTAAAGGTGGGGGAAATAAATCTTGAGGTTTTGTATCATGCTGTATTTATTTCATCTCGAGTTCAAGGATGCAGCTTTGAAGGAGAAAGTCAGTGGAGGAGCTGTATTGTCATTTTATGGGTCTGGTCAGCCATTTCACTGAGCCTTTGGAAAAAGCCCTGCAAGGTGGGAGAGTAGAAAGCGCTCAGCCATTTCATCTCTGACCTCAACTTTTAGCCATCAGTGGAGCAATTCTTTATTGACCTAGGAACTATTAGTATTTTATCATTTAAAGCTGAATTCTTACTTGTGAAACATCACATTTTTGCAATGTAGCTATAAATATTGTGGCTTAAATCATATTTTATTTGTTTTTTTTCCTACCCTTCCTGCTGAGGGACCCCTTTTACCATTTGGCCAGAATTACCATTAATTTACTGTGACTTGTTATCCTTCCCAGACAGTTTTTCCCCTTTGGTATTTTCTTCCATGGATAGGAGCCCATTTTGTATGGGCCATGAGACTAGTCTTTCAGAGACTGCTTTTTTTGTTAATTTCTGGTGAGTTGAAATTAGAAGGATCTCTCTTGTCAATCTGTCTATTCCCCGATTTCCCAAAAGGAAAGGCATTTACTGTAACAACAGATACGGGCATCAATATTCTCTTCAGTCCACTCCCTGTCTCCTCGGCCCTACCAGGGCTTATGGGTAACCAGCCCAGGGCCTATTCCTCTGAGAGTGTCACAGTTGGGAAATGGTTTGAGGAGCATCAGAAGGCTCACCTACCAAAAGTCTTTTGCTACACACACACACACACAGAACATACACAAGTGTGTGTGCACACACACGCACACACATGGGTTTGCTTGGTGTTTTACCAATAATGCTCCATTGGATGGGTGGCTTTGTTTTTGGGGGCAGCTGGAAGCTAATGCTCTTTAGCTCTGGCAATCCCCTGTCTAGAACCATCTTGGGTTCAAGTATATGTGTTCTAGAACAACAGGATTTCTAAAGTAAATTTTATTTGTTTATGGGATTCTCTGGGAAAGGTCTCTTCCTTTTGAATTCTGGTGATGTTTTCTTCCTGTAAACATAAAGTGATTTGGACTATAATGGTGACGTTGGGATGAGTCTTCCAGTTCCTGTACACGGTTGGGGCCACAATCTATAAATTCCTTGATGACAGCTGTAATTCCTTATCTATCATTATATCACATGCCTGGAACGCAGTAAGCATTCTGCATTTTTGTTGAAAGAATAATAGGAAATCTAGTAAAAGGGCGAAGAAATCCAGAAAGAAAGAAATAGCAATGTAGATGTCAGGGTGGCCTACGCAGTGTTGTAAAAAAGTCATTTAAGTCACATTCAGAGAGCAGTTTGTTTTCTAACTATTACATAAGCAGATATGACCTTTGGAGGAAATCACACAGAAGAGACTTTTTTATATGGTCAGACAGGCAGCTAAATGATAAAGTTATTCTTGACCAGTTTGTAGCCCTTTGGGGTTTTGTTTCATAGGCTCATGCTTATATCTTAGTACACCATAAGATATTTAAAACTTTTAACAGGAATAGCAAAAGAGTAAGACTAATACAGTAATAATCTTGTCACATGAACACAGAAACAGTTCCATTTCTCCATGTATGTTTTTAGGTGTCCATGTACTTTATGCGGTTGTAATCACAATGTATTTTTTCTTTTGTTCTTTTCAGCTAACATGATAATTTTCCACAAAATCATTAGATTTTAATTCTGAATACATGTTATAGGCTTATGAGACCTTGCATCTTAAAACCTGCCTAGAAATTGTGCCGACATAATTGATGGGCTACAGGCGAGAAAGAATGACTTCCTTAGGGCAGTGCATTAAATATCATTTGACTACTTTTTGTAGCAGTGTCCTTTTGGGAATCCAGTTTAATTTTGTGGCTGATCAGGGTAAAGATACTCTGCTGTTCTGGTAGAAGTGTGGGGGAGGGGGGAGTTATTCTTTGTGTTTCCATTTTCTGAATATATCATGATTGAAAATTAGAAAAAAGCAAATACTTCATGTGGTTTGAAAGATCTTTTTTGTGTTCAGGGTCCTTTTATAGAGAATAAAAAAATGTTACTAAGTGATCTGTTATGCTGTGGCTCTCTTAGTAGAACTTGAAATTTTTTTATAGTTTAGAGGTAATCTAAGTAGGGTATTTCAAAATAGGACTGCGTGTTTGAATGAAGTCTTTGAACCTTCTCCAACTTCTTTATTCCTGTGTGACCTTGAGTAAGACATCTAATCATAACTGGAAAGTAGGAGTAAAGCTGGCTGAGGCTGATTCTGATTACGATGATGAGCATTTTGTCATGTATGGGGCTACTGTGAGGGCGGAGGAGAAATTTAAAAATTGTGTTGGAATTGTTTTTAGAGCAGCTATTTCAGTGTAGCGTAAACTGTCAACAGGCCCCATTCTTACAAGCCGGTGGCAATAGAGAAGGCAGGGATGGGGAAGCTTTCTGCTCAGTAAGCACTTCTTGCCCACACTGGCTTCAAGTTATGCTCAGTTTACTTCTCAGGTATACTCAGGTAGTAGCCAATTTTGCAGAACAGGGAGGCTCTACCCAGACTTGATTTCTTTCCTATGCAGCCTGGCTCTGTGTCCAGCTGGTTCCCCTAAACAAGACAGATCCTCAGTCTTTTTCACTCAGCAGCCTTCAATGCTGAGGGTAAAAAGACTTGTTCTTTTAGTCCACATGCCCCAAAACAATTCGGAATCAAAAACCAGATTTTTATACTAGTGTGTGTACATGAGGGACGGAAGGAATTATAAGATCTTTATATTTTTTCCCTAGTTGAGAAAAGATAGGTTTTTTCTATTAAAGATGGGGTTTGAGTGGAAGAGATAGATCGAGGGCAGAGGGATTACACAGCACAAAATATTGTTAATCTAGTCAAGCAAATTTCGATTCCATACTGTCGGAACAGCTGAGACCAAGCACCTTGGAACTAGTCCAGTTTGAAAATATCTTACTCGTTATATTCATTAAAAGGATAACTGAAAAAACTAGGGGTTGGTTGTAAGATTACTGTTTTTATTTTTTGGTGAGTGGGCGTTAAATGAACTGTTTTTCAGGAAATAATGGGGAAAAAATAGCCACACACTCTTAGCTAGTTAGTCACTCCTGAATCGATGAGAGTCATCATTTTGTTAATTTCATCAACATGTTCATTTCTTTCAGCTCCATGTTCATGCATGTCTTTTAACCCGGAAACAAGAAGACTGTCCATAGGTCTAGACAATGGTACAATCTCAGTAAGTACACATAAATAAGATTTCCAGTTGAACTACTTCCCTTCCTGTGGAGTACGTGTATATGTATTGTGATGAGAATTATTTATTAGTTGTTTTTTTCAAATGAACAAATTAGTTTTCTTGCTAACTGAAGTGGAAATTGCAGTGCAGCAGATTATGGTGAAGTGTAGGGAGAGCTGATATCAGTCTCCGTTTAAATGTTGACAAGATTCAGCTTGCCTTCCCATGGACCCAGTGGCTAGAATGGAAGCTTTACGAGGCCCCTGAGTGAACCCTGTGAATCTCTGTGTTAGTGAGAGCACGTGGGGATACTTGAGGCTGTGATCAGATGGTTAATCATGGTGTCATGTGCTTCCTCAGACAAGTGACAGAACACAAGGGAAATGTCTTCTCAGACCTGCATGTCTGATCTCTGATACTTGATGTTTTTTTCCTTTCCCTCTTCTTCTGCTCCTTCTTGTCTTAACTCCCTCTAGCTGTGAAGAGAGCCCTGTAAATTGTATGAATTTGTTTAAAAAAAAAAAAAAAATCACAGAATCTACATTAGGCTGTAGGGTAGAGTCAGATAAATATTAGGCTTTTTTTTTTTTTTTTTTTTTTTTAAACTGTAGCTCTTGAGGGAACTGAAGTGATTAGGGATTGGGAGTTTCAGGTTCTACTTCTTAACTTAAACATTTTTTAAAAAATATGTTTAGTTTCAGCTACTGTTTTAACCAAGTGCAACAAGACTGATCTGGCAAATTCTCCATTTTGGTAAATTATGCATTATTGCCTGCAGTCCTGACAAGAGAGGCCCTGCTTTGGGACCTGTGAATTAAAGGACCCTGTTCTGCCTGGCCACATTTCCCTAGAGAATGAAGGACCCTAAGAGGTCCAGGGGATGTGCCCAGCCTAGGCTCTCATGCCACCTACCCCCGTGTTCTGAGTACCTGACTTGAATTTTCCTGACCCCAAACAGCTTAAAGTCTGTCTGCATATACTGTATTGTGGAACTTAAAGGAGTCTAGAAATTTTAAATTCCTTCTGGTACCTCCAGGTAGTTGAAGGTATATTTATTAAGATTTGAGGGAGTGACCATATTTTATTTAATAGTTTGACTTGATATATAACTTTTAAATATTTAGACATATGGAATGTGATTTCCATCTGTAATCATAACCTGATTCTTACAAGGGGTCTAAAGAGGTGGGCTTGGAATTTTTCATTTGGTCTTTAGTCAAAACATTTGTTTGGTAACTCTTAATGGAAATTTTCACAGTATTATTAAATATGTATCTGCCTGTTGACAAATATTTATGGAATTTCTATAATGTCCAGTGCAGTTGGGAGGTGTGTAAACTCTGTTCTGTAGGAGGACAGCAGAGAGGTAAATGATACGGATCTTCATCTGGTTTAAGGAGAGTTATTTTTAAAAAGTGGGGTGTGGGGAGGGATAAATTTATTTTTGAAAAATGAAGGGGGGTAACTGGATTGTTCAGTGAACTGAAGTTCACTGCAAAGGAAATCTGAAAAGATGAGCTAAGATCTATATATTGTCCCAGTAGTTCGTGGAATAGTATATGTAACACTCACTGTCCATGAAAAGACTTAAGTGTTTATAACTATGGGTGAGTCTTTGAATTTTTTAAAATCAGTGTAGGTGGTTCATGGGTGCTGATAAATTTGGCTTTAAAGGCGAGAAAGGTGACCAAAGTAAGTTATGGAGCATTCTGGCTATTTAATGTGTATAACAGGAGAGACCATCTTAGCCATTATTTGTTTAGTGAATGAAACTGCCAGAGAGGTGGAACATAAATCAGGGGGGCTAGCTTGGGATGCTCCTGGTGTAGCCATACCGTGTGGATATCCCAAGCCTTACCTTACCCTGATCTCCTAGAAAAGATTAAGAACCCAACTTCTATGACATAATTTCCTTAAAAGAACCTGTTTTATATTGTCAAAGCGGATGAGTTGTAGACACTCTCTATTCTCATTTGAAGAACTGTGAAGAGCTGAGTTAGGAAAGGCACACGGAGAAAAGGCCTTGTTTAAGGTTCCACGTCCTCACTGGGGTTAGAAATACTTACACAAAGTCTCAGCTTTCCGGACCTGAGAAATGCTATGCAGAGACTGCTCATTCTCTGTTCCCTGAGTATAGCAGATAAACTTTAAAGAGAAGTAACTAACTAGTTAACTTTGGGGGGGGGTGGGCTGGTGAACTTATTTAAAAAAAAAGAAAGGAGGACATCAGAATGTAAGTCCTCGTGTCTCTTTATTCTGCTGAATGAAAAAGATTGAAGAGACAGTTAACCTTACATAACTGAAATGAATTAGAGATGAAGTGGAGACAGCCAGTACAGACTATGGTTTCAAAAACTTGTCTGCAAAAGGAAGGAGAGGGAGGGTGAGCGCTGCAGCAGGATGAGACATTAGACAAGCACCAGGGGGTTCCTGAGCTACTGGGAGAATTTAGCTTTGGAGAAGAGTGGAGAAACTGTTGAGATAGAGAGAAAGGCTGAGGCAGTTGTGAGATGCAGGAGAGGAATGACCTTTTCAGTTTCTCCTGAAGTAGCAAGTTAGATCACCTATTCAGAGAAGCTAGAGGGGGTGAGGGTGTGTTTTCATGTCTATACATTTCATTCTTGCTAATCTTAGAACCCTGATCCCCCTTCTGCCATCTTGGTGTACAGAGTCCCAATTCTTTCTCATCGCCTTGTTCCAATGTCATCTCCTTTTTTTGTGCTTTGGTTTTTGTTTGGTTGAATGGTTCCTCAGCCCTTCCAATTGAAATGAATCACACACATTACTCCATAGGTTAGCTCTATTATATTGCTCATTTAACTTGCTTTGTAAAAAGTCTTTAAGTCTGTCTCCTCCATTAAAGTGTTGAGTGTTGAGGAGTTGGCCCGTCCCTTACTCATCATAGTAGGGTTCCTTGTACAAATTAGGGACTCAATGAATAATTTGTTAGATGAGTTGCGTACTAAAGTACAAACGCTATTATTATTTAGTAGAGCTGGCTGTACTAAGTACCTGCTTGAATTCTGAGATAGCTTATTTGCATAATTCTGTTGCCATTCAAAATATTTGTCACAATGGGATTATCTTCTGCAGCGGAAAACATTATGCCCAATAGTTTAATTCATCTTGAGTTTTCAGAAATGTCATCTGTTTTAATGTCAAAGAAGTCACTCATATTGTGCAGACTGTTATTCATGCTAAAGTAGGACTTAGAAATTTTCTTTTTTAAAATTTTATTTATTTATTAAAGATTTATTTGGTATTTATTTGAGACAAAGCATGAGCAGAGGGAAGAGGCAGAGGGAGAGGGAAGCCCGAGGCGGGGCTTGATCCCAAGACCCTGGGACCATAACCAAAGCCGAAGGCAGATGCTTAACTGACTGAGCCACCCAGGTGCCCTTTCCTTTCCTTTCCTTTCTTTTCCTTTTGCTATTCCTTTCCATTTAAAAAAAATTTTTTTTAAAGTTTCTTTTAAAAATTTATTTGTTTGACATAGAGAGACCCAGCGAGAGAGGGAACACAAGCAGGGTGGGTGGGAGAGGGAGAAGCAGACTTCCTGCCAAGCTGGGAGCCCGATGTGGGGCTCGACCCCAGGACCCCAGGATCATGACCCGAGCTGGGCGGATACTTAACAACTAAGCCACCCAGGTGCCCCTTTTATTTTTTTAAAGATTTTTGTTTTTAATTTATTCATATGTGGGAGAGAGCAAGCCAGTGAGAGCATGAGCAAGGGGGAGGGGCAGACTCTCTGCTGAGCTGGAAGCTGGACACTGGTCGATCCCAGGACCCTGGGATCAAGACCTGAGCCAAAGGTAGATGCTAAGTGACTGGCCCACCCAGGACTCTGAAATTTTTTATCACAGTATCTCATGTATTCTAGCCAACCAACAAATAAATCTAAACATCAACAATGTGCAAAATAGTAAGTTCGATTCTAACATGTGGCTCCTGGTCTCAGAAAGCTTATTCAGTTGGGGGGAAAGGGGAGCATGAAATTGTGAAATAAGTAACACAGAGTAAAAAAAAAATAACAGCCCCAGCAGCAGTACACCAGTGAGTGTGATGTTGATGGGACAGTGAGGGCAGGGGAGCGTGGGAGGTAATGGTCCGGGTCAGCCCCGTGGAGACAGGCTGTGAGCTGGGTTTAGAAGATGGGCTAGGATTTCGCTGGCTGAAGATGGGAAGGTAAGGTATTTCAGGTAAAGTGAATGGCATAGGAGAAGAGAGCATGGTGGTAAGGAGAGGGCAAGAAGTGTTTGGAGAGAAATGAACTAGTCTGAGAAGTGGCCTGTTAAATACACAAGGTGTCTGGGGTCCTGGCCCAGGATGAGTAGTTGGCATTTGAAGGAGCTGGGTCCCCAACAAGGCAGCTCTCCCTCCAGCACCACAGAGAGGATACACCACAGGTATTGAGAGAGGATAATTGGTGAGGAAATGTCCACACAGAAATGAAAGAACTTCCTTAAACTAATTTTCACCGACTCTACTGAATAATGGCTTAGTCGTAGAGGTATATAGATGCTAATCTTCATAACTATATAGATTTTCTGCTTCATCAGAACCGCTAGTGAGCCAGAGTTTTTATTGAAATCTTGCTGGATAAATGCCTATTCATTGAAATCCCCCCCCCCGCCCCGAGCAAATGATAAATCTCTGTTTTCTGAAGATTGTTTTCATATATTTGTTTATGTTAAATTTGGGATGAGAAGGAAAGATTGATCTGTGTAATGGTTAGCATTCAGGATAATGATTATTATATAATAATAAGTGATATATTTTTTTAAGAATAAATGATATTGACCATGTATGGACTTATTGCTACTGTTTTGGTAGTTCTTGTGGTTATTATCTTCCTGTAGTATATATTGGTGTTAGTTCACATCGTTGTCCAAGGGAATGAAAGGGGAAAGAGAACTGAACACTGAGCATGCACCATGTCCCAGACATTCTGTTTCATGTACATCCCTTCATTCCAGCATCACAGGAATGCTGTGATGTAG